CTTGGAACCACACAGTCTTTGCTTTTATGCTACACAAGAAAGGATTTCTTTGGTCCTTTTCTTTTCCGGTCACATCAGATGAAACCACAGTCGGAACAAAAAACAGCTTTCTGGGTTCTTGCCACATATTTACATTTCATCTAGGTCTCTGCCCCCAGCGTACAGAAACAGAACCATAACTAGCATAAAATACATATAGGCGGCACGTGGCGGAGTGGATAGCACTTTCGCTTCTCAGCAAGGAGGTCCTGGGTTTGAATCCCGGTCGGAACAGGGCCTTTCTGAGTGGAGTTTGCATGTTCTCCCCATGTCTGCGTAGGTTTCCTCCGGGTGATCCGGCTTCCCCTACCACTAAAAACATGCACAATAGATATGAATTTAAAAGAGAGAGCGAATGGATGGTGTTGATTGGGGCTGATGCGCCGTCATCACCGTGTGTGGAATAATTGGAACAATATCTGAACTCTGAACATTGTAAAGCGCTTTGGGTGACCTTTGTTTGTAAAATGCGCTATATAAATAAACATTACTTACATGCATGTGATAGAACAGTTTTGAGAGCAAAAAACTAGTTTGACGGATTTATTGAATACATTTTTGAAGGCCTGAAAGCTAGGTACCCCATTTTTAACGTCAATGTCTGTTACTGAAGAGAAAGATAATTTACACAAATTATCAACAACTTCTAATCCATGTATGATGGTCAAGCTCTCTCCCTGTTTGTTATTAATTTACCTACCTGAGGACAATGGATGAAAATGATGCTAAATCCAGTACAATTATCCACATCCATCCACATCAGTGAATCTTAGCGTGGTTTTGCTCAGAAGATGTGTTACCTGCTTACAGGGCCAGGTCATTCTTTTTTTAAACGAAATACATTTGAAGCTACTGACATCACATTTAACAACGATCCAATGAGTATTCCAACTTCCATGTTGAGTATTCCAACTTCTTCCATGTTTGTTTATTGAAGCCATCTGCTAATGTTTAATAGAAGCTTATTTGAGGACAGGCAGCCGTTTCTATCTAGATACAAAGCCATGAAGAGGCTCTGTTACACTGGGACTGCGCCCCACTACCGCAGCTGGTCTCTGTCACCATTAACAGACCTTGCTATAATCTAATCAGCGGACACACAAAACTACAACATTCTTACAGTCGCGCGAAGTCTTCACCGCACAGAAAGATGGCAGGAGGGATGTGGATCCAGTGTGATGGGAGTCTGTCTATGTCAGGGCCCACCCACGGAGCAGAGACGAGGCCTGAAAGCTGGTCCTGAAGCCAACAGATGAACCGCACGCCCCACCGAATGTATCTGTGCAATTTGTCAGGGCAAATTGGGAATGCAGAAACCACTATGCTATTCCAGTGTCTGAACAGGCGGTGGATGGAAAGAGAAATTATAAAAAAGTGCTTCTAAAAGTTATATCAGTCATAACCAATTCATGTAAGTGTGTTGTTGTTTTTAGATGAGGGCAGGTAGCCGTTCCTCTTCCTCATTCATGGTAGGCCAGTAATATTTTACATTTCCACAGATTCAATTCAATTATTTTTTTCTTAGCCCTAGTTATCTTGGAGGACTTTACAAAACCGTTGAATTCGCCAAAACAGATCAGACACAAGAAATGCAATGATGCAAAAGAACAGGGCAGATGACCAATGTCCATAAATGTTGATAAATGTCCAGTAATGTTGTTGAATGATGGTTGATAAACACTTAACACGTAAAAATACTAGGTCAATAGGCTGGTTGAATGGCGAGTCGTTTTGACACACCAGCCTGTGTTGCTCAGTGTGTAAAGAAAAGGCCTCCCCAGGGCTTTGGCTTATTTTTTGTGGAGTGGAAATGATATAAGCCCCGTTTAGACGGAGACATTGCAGAGAAAAGCAATTTGAAAGACCCCGCTCCGGATTCGAAGTGCACAGCGTCTACATGGCGATGCAAAACAATGTTAAACTAGCGTCCGGCCAGCAGTGGGTAGTGGAATTTTACAACACAACACACGTAATTCCTGCCAGTATCACTTTCTCAACAACATCCTCCTCAGGCCACCGCAAAGCCAGAAAAGAATGCACCAACATCATTCTGTATTCAAAAGTAAGAGCAAAAATGAAACTGGTTCGACAAAGGAGAAGAATTGCTAATCCATGTAACGCTCGAAGTACACATAGTATTAGTTGATCCACCGCCATTGTTGTTTGCGTTTGTTCTCGGCTACTGCGCATGTCCAAATGTGCGTGAGGGGAAGTGGCGAGGTTATAACAGGCAGAGAATTCACACCTTTTTCTTCACACAGCTGTGCAGCAAACCCCGTCGCGCAGAGTATCTGTTTTCTTCCACTCTGGAGGCTGTTTCTCCCCCGAAACACTGTCTCCGTATGAAGGAAAAGCCAAGCCGATACCCATCTCTACCGTTTTACTGACGCAGCCTCTCCATGTAAGCAGCCCCATAGAAAGCCAAGTATCCAGATTGGTGTCAGAAATTAAAAAGTGGATCAGTGCATCCCGAGATACTGCAGTATTTCTCCATCAATATTTGAGCGTAGAAATCTTTCAAATTCGGTATTCGTCCCATGTTCATTAGACGCTCAGGTTTTTTGGCTTGATGTTTTCATCTTGTTTATGCCAGCCCTTTGACACGATGCACACTTTCCAACACAAACCTTTCAAACTCTATCATTCATTCAAAGGTTAATATGCACTCCCTCGCTCCCTGGAGCTGTGAGGCGTACTTTTCAGCTCGATTACAAACGCAGTAGATATTAAAAGGTACCGTCACACTTCTCTCGCTCTACCCCAGGCGCCACTGCGTTGTTTAAGATTAGACAACAGCAGCTCCTGTGTTCGCTGCCACTTTACCCTGGAGGAACGTGGCGTGTATCCGCAAACATTAGTGCAGTGGTGGGGAGATGGGCCTCAGTCTGACAACTCATCCACCGAGAGAGGCACGCTTGTCACTCTCAGCGTCTCGCCGCTTAATCAGGCCGACACATGCTCTGCTTGTAAACCCGCGTCTATAAAGAAATCAAGCCGCCGCTGTAGTCTGTAAACAGGTCCCACTCACTCGCTACTTTGGACTTAAAGTGAGCTGGACGAATACCAAATAGTTATGTACATTTCATATTTTCCAGTTTTGCATGTTATTTATTTTTTTGTAGCTGTTACATTTTACTTTGTGTAGTGAATAAGGAGGTAATCTTTGTCTATGTAGCGCCTTTCACAGAGTCAGGACAAATGCCCATATAAGGATATTGGCTCCAGCTAGCTTAGGTTCTATTTGACTTCGTTCCCACACTATGGTGACATCAGCACTCAGTCAGTCCACTCCTAATATATGGTCGAAGCCAGAACCACAAGCGCTAACCACTGATGCATTGTTGACCTCACATTAGTAATTCCTTGTTGTACTCATTTTCACTGAATTAGTGTTTTCAACATCAAAACTATGTGTGTATAGATTAAAAAACGGGTTGTGTTCTGAGTGTCCCAAGTGTGACGTCATCTTAGAATTTCCTAGTTTTATTTTTCAATTTACATTTTTTTCCCCACACATTGATGTGAGACTATGCTTTTCATATAGTCCAGAACATTTACTCTAAATAAGGTAAAACTGATTCAACAAAGAATATCTTTAAATCGCTTTATGCTCATATTCTTGCTCTTATTTTCCCAATAGTTATGGAACAACAATTAAGAATTATCTTGAAGAATGAACGTTTCATCTGTCAAGTCTTTGATGACATAGGTGGAGTTCCATTTCAGAATCCAGCTTTACTACCTGTATATTACAACAAAAAATGTACCTTGTGTCACAAACTGTCACTTGACTGATATATTTACTGTATATATTTACCAGTGCTTCTGCTCCACCAAAGAAAAACAGCACTTGGACAAAAATGTCCCCCCACACATTCACTTCCAGATCAAATTTCAATGCAAAATATATTAAAATGTGTGGGTTGACAAGCTGTTGGAGTTGTGAACGCTTTGGAATTCTCTAATCATTCTATTTGTGCTAAAAAGCCAGCAAATGCATTTCACCACCTGGTCCTCAGCTGCCCCCACACAGCTCCACTCATCCAGGACAAGCCCCCGCAGTCTTCTCTATCAATGAGGCCAAGGAGAGCCGTTGTTGGATGCACCAGTGAAAGGAAATGGCTAATGTATGGGCCCAAGCTCAGGGGAATCCGTTACTCTGAGAAAAAAATGCACTCAGCTTAAACAAGTGAGTGTCTGTGTGCAGGGCGGGCCATAGTGTCTAAAGGAAAAAGAGAGACAGATAGTGAGGACACTACACTATCTGCTTGGAGATAATATAGAGGACATATCCAGCCCAGTGAACAAAGTACATTATTGTGTTTATACCAAAAGATTAAAGTTGAGAAAATAACGACCACGGTAACACAGTGTTTCAGTTTTGACATGTTTTAATATTTTTTTAGAAAACAAAATACCCTGACCTTGTACAGTAATCTGGTTGAAAAAATACAAGTCACAAAGCCACTACTATAAAGTTGTAGATGTTGGTCAGTTTTAGGCACTTGGAACCACACACAGTCTTTGCTTTTATGCTACACAACAAAGTATTTCTTTGGTCCTTTTCTTTCCCGGTCACATCAGATGAAACCACAGTCGGAACAAAAAACAGCTTTCTGGGTTCTTGCCACATATTTACATTTCATCTAGGTCTCTGCCCCCAGCGTCTACTACAGAAACAGAACCAGTAAAGCTCCTTAGTCGCACTGCATCCCTTTATGACTCCTTACTTGTTCTTCATAAAATAGAAAATGTACCCAATGGCACAAGTATTTCTTTTTACAGCAGTAATAAAAAGTATAACTTAGTGGAATGGTTGGTTTAATAAGACATTTGGCAAAAGACAAGTTCTTTTTCACAATAGGCTTCAAATCAAAGCCCAATTTGCTACAAAAATACTGAGGGCACTTCAGTACAATGCTTAGCCTGAATAAAATAATACAAACAGTCCTTGTTGTCGCTCAGCTGCAGGGCAACCATGTCTGATAAGAGTTACTGCATGCACCCATGGCCGAATGGACCTGAGCCACATAATAGTTGCTGAAGTTGACGTCTCTAACATATGGAGCGGGCTGATAGTAGCAGGTGATATTAGCCACTGCTGGGATGGCGTGCTGCTCTGCCATGACACGCAGCGCCAGAGCAGAGATAAGTGCCAACGTTTGTCTGCGCTCATGGCCCATCAGACACACTGTGCTCTCATCCACCACCTGTCTAAGTGTCAGTAAGTACTGGTAGCGCTTGTGCTCCATGCCTGCAAAGTGGTTCTGCAGATAGCCCTCCAGTTTCCTCTGCTGCTCACTGATGTCAGGGAAGTCAATGAAGAATCGAGAGCACATGTAGCGCTGCATCTGTTTCATCAGAGCCTCAGACGAGGGCTGGAAGCCCCTCACCAGCAGGTGGCAGTACTTAAGAAGCCCACCGCCCCTGATCTCCTCTGGGCTGTGTGTGGCTATCGTCCTGGTGCGCAGGTGACCCAGGGCTTCCTCGAAGTCCCCGAACATGCTCTCCCCTTGCACTGTGGGGTGGAAGGTCTCAGACATCACATTGTCTGAGCAGCGGTCAAACAGCAGCAGAGAGTCCAGAGTAATCTGGAAGGAATCCACACTGAACTCAAACTGCCGTCGAAGAGAGTCCACAAACTTCAGTTCCACGTTCTTGCCCGTGTTGTTAGACAGAGAGATGAGACTCCAGCGGTCGGTGTCGTTGCACACTTTGACCAGTTTCTGGACATACGCCTCCTTCAGGGCCAGTGGGGAAATGCGCTCCTTGCACACTCCATCGGGCAGGAAGTCCACCAAGCAGTCCAGCACCACATCTTTAACCAGGCGGAAGGTCTTGTCATCGCTGAGGCTCAGGCCAAAGATCAGGTCGAGGTCTTTGTATCCAAGCCCGTTGTCCTCGTGCAGAACGTGACTGGCGGCAGATCCATTCAGCTTGACATCACGCACCACCACACCCTGCTCCTCCAGCCGAGCCCTGACCACCTGCAACATACAGAGTGAAGAGAGTGATGAGTGATGGATCCAAAGGATTTCATCTGAGCATGCCTCAATACGAGTCCGTGCAAGTCACCACTGAACTCTTACCCTGTAAAGTGCTTACAAATGAAAAACACTCTTATACTGCCAATGCAATTTCAAGTGTGTGGAGCAAATTATGTTAGAAAAGCAAACTATTATAACATGCCCAAACACACACACGCTCAGAACTACCTCATCTATAATTTGCCACAAAATTAAATCTTCTGTTAGAAATTATGTCTCAATTATAAAAAAATATATAATTTATTCATCACTTAAATTAAGGATTGGTAGGGCATGACACAAACGGAAAATACAATCAAGATTTTCACTTATAAAGTCGCTCTTATAAAGTTGTATTATAAATGTGTATGCAAGATTAAGGTTGCTCAGCTGTCAAGAGTAGCCTAAACCTTTGACATGTGAGTTTTTGTATTGACATGTCTAAACTTGAGCGCTTTAATGACATGGAGAGAAAATACAGCTGCAAACTTTCTAACCCGAGGCGTACGGCCAAATTTGATCCCTTTGCCGTCGTATAAACTCTACTTGTGACTCAAAGATTTATCTCTCATTGGAACACACACCATGCTGCTATGTTCCTGCTTCCTGTCTGCAGCGCGACAGACAAACAAGAGGCGGTCAGGACGAATCAGAAATACAGCTGTTTGTAAGAGGGCCCTCGCTGGACCCAACGGGGACTGGGACTTTCTGTACCAGCCATCTAGTCAACCCCGCACGCCATGTATGCATGCTAATCCAGTTTCGGACACTCCCATAGCATATCACAATACTCCGTGCAATTCTAATCCCAATAATCCTTTTTTAATGGAACAGTGCTGCTTTAAAACTGCAAAGGACATGCTAAAATGTGGCAGAGAGTGAAAGCATTAGCAAATTGTATTCTATTACAGTAATGTCATATAATTAGATGAGGACACCAGAGAATTAAACATTTGTGAATAAAAGGTTGTGAAGGGTGTTTTCTTTTTTGGCAAATGGAAAAATTTAAATAGTGGAGGTTTTCAAACAAAGTTGTCATAGTTTGATACATACAATAGGTTGCAAACGTGCCATTACAGCTTTTGAAATTTAGAAGAAGAAGGTCCTTTATTCGTCCCACATTTACGACCCAACATAACATATCATAATTTTGGATGGTTTTTTTTCTGAAAAACGTGTTGGCTATTCTAGTCTTTGTCTAAGGTTTATTTTTATTTTTATTTCATTATAGCAAAATCAGCATTGAACTGTTGTTAATGTGACAATGCCTGTACATACTGTAAATAAGCCTGTCACTCTAATGGCCATAATGACCCATTGTGCAATAATTGGTGTGATCTATTTTAGGTCTCCATAAATTTCCTTTGTAATTGTGGGAATCTGTTTGCTTTTAAATGTAATATGTTGCAACTGTAGCTGTAGAATGGTTGAATAAGATTTTGTGGTCTTGTGTAGTTATTCTGACTATTTCTGATTATCTCAGGCCTTTGCTTTCTGGCCATACCCTTGAAGTCAGTGTCATAATATAGCTACATATGCTGCAGTGTCCCATTAGTTTTGTCGGTGCAAATATAAAACAGTACTTTTACGAATGAGAAAAGATACTATAGTTTATCTGCTGTCATGGCATCCTTCACCCACAAATCCAGGAGTCCCGGCAGCTTCATAAAAGTGCCCACCATCTCTGCTCCTCATAAACCCGCCCAGTGGTCTTCCATAGTGATGCAACAACACCTGCAGAGGGGAGACACTTCCCCTCACGCTCAGGCAGAGAACTTGTAAAAAAAAGAAAAAGCAAAAGGTAAAAGCCACAACCACCATGCGACTGTCTGGTGTTGACAACGCCTTGGCGACACATAACTGCCCTGGTTCTCCACTCATGCAGACTCAATAGTTTCCTGAATTGTTTCATTTAGGCTGCGGGTTGAATGCGTGTTTATTATGGCAGTTTGAAATGACCCAGCCGTTTACAGCCCATAGTTCCCCGGACGCCCATGACGAGTCCGGGCAGTGAGTCAGAAGTTCTCCCTGGCCACGGAAATGGTGACTGAGGAATTAGTTATGAATCCCCAAGACCTAAGAAAATACTCCAAATCTAACCGCGCGATCAGGACAGTAGCTTGGCACGTGATTGGGAATGTCTAGATTTGAAGCCGTCCATCTCATATACACGGGTGGTCATTTTGCCTTTTGAAAACTTTTTTTCTTTTGGCCCACACGTTGTAATTTGACGATGGAGTAGGACCCAGATTGATGCTTTGAGAGAATGGAGTCAGCTGCTTTAACAGTTCGCAGATGTGCAATTCCTGTAAAATGTGACTAAGGGAGTCTTTTGAATTGATAGTCATATATTTTGAACAAAGTCAAATGCAAAGTTAATTCGAGGATATCAGAAAACAGTTTTTCGCCCTGAAGCAATATTGTCTATCCATTAGTATTTAGATCAGGGACGGGTATAGGGCTCTGCAGGTCACAAGGACACATGCCAAGAAAACAAAAGATTTCCCATCCATCACATTTGATTGGTGTCCAAGCATCTGCTTTATTTTAATTTTAAAAGCACCTCTAGGTTGACTGTCATGGCAAGTCAAAAACTGTCACATTTATGATTCTTCTCTTGGCTAAAGATAAAACCGATCCCTGTCAACACCCTTATAATTTATGAGAGCACATTTGACTTCATTATTTTGCCTGTATCCCAAAATGTAAATGCTTTACCCTGCATCTCAAGATATAGGCACTTTCTTATGCGGACGCCGCGGCAATCCAATGTTTTCCATTCTGTCTGTGCAACAATAACATGGTCTGAACTACTGACAGGCCACAAGAGCCTTTGAGACAAGATCTTCCACTGCGACATCTCAAGCCAAATATTAAAAATTACTCAAAACCAAATGTTCCAGATAACCTAACCAGGCCTGGGAGCACATGGCCTCCTCTTGTTGCTCCATCTCAACAATGGCCTTGTGAGGAGTCGGCTTACAGTCAAGACCAGTGTTATTAGAGGAACTAATCCATTCTTGCTGTTGCATAGACACTCACTCTCTCGGGCCATCTACCACTTTCACCCAGGGAAGAAAAGGCCTGCATGTATGTTGAAGCAGGCTACAGGTAGAATCACAAATATGAAATTGCAGACACAACAATAGACTTTTTAGTGGCGCTGCAAAGATGGAACGCGAGATGGCCAACAAAAACAGACAGGCTTCCAAACTTCCACCTATGCACTCAACTCCAGTCGACATATTGCGTCACAAAACAGGCCTATTTGTGGTAATTTGGTACAATTGGAGAGCTGAATGGGTGGTGACAAGCTACGTGGAGTCCAAAGGTCGACGTATATCCTCGACTGTGGGTTGAAAAGTGTTGAAGTCAAATCAATGGGGGCTATAGGAGCTTTCCTCTGTGCTCCCTGGGCTTACACATGCACAGACCGCAAACAGATGTTATTGAAATGTGGCCCTCAAACAAACTAGGCATTGGCAGGGTCTGGTTTGGGAGTGGGGTTTTTCAGACAAGCTTACCAAGCATGTGATGACAACCAAGACACCTCTGTCTGCTCCTAAAGCGCTCAACTCAAGTGCCGGTATATGTTGAAGCATGAGCTCAAGCCTTATAGAAACCACAAAAGCCTTGGGTTACTGTGTCACACATTTTCCATGATGTATTATAAGAGTTAAAATTGCTGTTTTTCTCTTCTTCAGGCGGATACGAGATTCCATTCATGTTAAGATGGTGAAAATATCACCATGTCATTTCTGCTTTTGGCATTTACAGTGACAGCAAATATGTTGTTAGCTTTTATTGTTGTCACATAATGTTATATACTCAACGGGCAGACTGACGACATGTAGCTGCCATATAACTGTTATTCATTGACTTTTTTACTCTTAAATATGTATGCTTTCTGCCTGTAACAGAAGTCTAATACAATATTCACAAATCATGAAAGAACATGCAATAGGACTAACTATTATATTCATAGAAGTGGTGGGCATCACCTGCTTTATTACAGGGCATTACAGGTAAATATATTCATCAATGATTCTCTTACATTTGAATATGGGGATGTACAATAATCTGTAGTAGTCTGTCCTAAACTGTATAAAAGCCTGCAGCAGCTATCAAGCAAACATTCTGCAGTGAAGCATGAACAAAAGCGGAGCCATGACGGTACCCTGTGGTGCCTCTAAATCTGATACAAGGTAAAGTGGGTGAAATTTCCAGAAGCCTCTTTGAAATCATGGAAAGTTTGGGATAAAGGAGTCAGGGTCTTGGGACAATCTAACGAGGGAAAGACATTAGAGGGGATGTTCGTAGCAGATGGGAGGAAGGGGGCCTCCATGATTATAGGGGCCCTTGAACTGTTATGCGAGTGTGCAAGGGTCTTTCTTCCCCCGCAGGAGCACCAAGAGAAAACACTGCCAACTCTGGGGAAAAGTAAACCTACATTGCACGTTAGGACATGAGAAGAAGCCCAGTGCAAATGGTTCTTTCCGCTATGAGTATTCTTGAGCCATTATCTCCATCCTGAGTGTTTTCATGAGAGGTGGGGGAAAAAAATGAGTGGAAAAGTAAAGTCAGTGTGTTAGATCATTCCACTATTATGTCTGTGTTAAGACTATGACTGATCAAATGTGCTCTTTTAAATGTGCTATATAAAACTTCTAAGTGGGTTGTTCGCCACTTCAGGGCTCGCCAATATTGGGCTTTTAAAAGTGATATTTCTGGCGTCTACGATATGATTCCCAGACATATATCCCTATGACATTTTTTGTATGATAAGTAGAGCAATTACAGTGGCATGTTATGCAGAGGAGTGACTTTTCTCAGTCACAACAAGGCAGAGTTTGCATGATTAATCTTTTCTTTTGAGCTGGTCTTCAGGCTCCACACATACATTAGTGTAATTTGCTAAATTTCAATCATAGGAAAAGCGTTAACAATTACAAGTCATATCTTGCATTTTAGTTTCTGATTCTCATAAGGTTAATTAGAAATGAAAGGGATAACCGGCTCCCCAAAAGACACACCAGTTGACATGAGAGTTAAGTTTAGCTGTAATCTCATTGGATCTTCACAACTTGTCAGCTCTGCAGTGCATCACTGTGGGACTACCAGCATGTGTTCAAGGGGAAGGGAGGTTGGGAGGGGGGTCCACATGAGAAACCTATCTCGCTTTGAGATCCTATACCCTAGGCGTTACAGAGGACCCCGACTAGACGCTCTGTCAAACCATATTATGCTACCAGTGTCATGCTGGGGGTGCTAAAGTTAAAGGGCAAATACAAGTAACAAGCTGTTTGTTACATGGATATAAAAGCTGCTCTGAATTCTAGGTAACTCTTGGAGGTCTGGGATATTTCAAATCTGTTAAAAACGAGATTATTATAACAAAAAAGTGAAGGTTTTAATATGTAATCTAATCAAGATTTAGATTCTGATTGATGTATTTGCCATTTGCAGTAAAACCACATTGGAATACATTTTGCAAAAGTCCAAAAGTCCGAAGTGTGCACAAGACAAATAGACAGATAAAACTAACTAAAAAAAGTGTAGGAATCAACTAACTTTCTAAATGTGTATTTGTTTTCTTTGCAAAGTTGAGTTTTCTATAATTAGTATGATATGCTGTAGATACTTTTTTTTTTTTTTCAAACTACAGGGCTGCTTCTTGTGGTCATTCTGCTTACTACAGTCTAAATAATTCTAAATATTTGTTTTATTTAATGACAAAAAATACAGCTGTCATGGCTTAATCATTATTTATCAAGGGATGTCTGCCGTAATGTGGACCAGGTAGAAGATACAATTTTAGTTTAGATCTGGATATATATATCATAAGATTTTGACTGACTTGTACGGAAAGGTTTGACAACTAAACTGCAATAGACTCAATAATATAGCACACTGATTAAGACAGATATGGCAGAAGTGACAACAGAATTGGATAAAAATAGGTTTTGACTATCACATCATGCAAAAAGGTTGATATACATTGGTGTCCTTATTACAAGAGTTTTCTATGAGGTCATAATGATTAAAGGCACACCGCGGACTTTGTGACCTAAAGAGTTGACACATATGAGTTATTTTATATGAATACTTGGGCCAATATACAGCGCTTGACACTTGCAATGCTCCGAGCGGGGCTGCCCTCTTGAAATACCGCCCATGTAAGTTTCGAGCAGACGGACCGTCTGCCACCAGGTCACGTGACTTGGAAGAAACACTTGCTTTACGGCTACAGGCGCTGATATACTCATGGAGCTAAGGCTTTTGCTACTCATTTTTCACCTGCTCGACTCCTGGTCATGGCTGAGGCAAGGAAAAATTTTAAACCTTCGGAGGAGGCTAAAAAGAGGAAACGCGAAAGGGATCGTGCTGTAAGCTGCATGTCTGTATGAGCGCTGCTGTTCACCTGGTTCCTGGATGTCATCGACTGCAAAGATGTCATTCCACGCAGCACGAGCTAGACGCAGAACTCCCTCATCCAGGATATAGAAGTCCGTGTGTGGTAGATTACTAATGCAGCGGTCTGGAGGCTGACCACAGCAGAGTCTCTCAATATCTGTAGGCATGTCTCTACAGTTTGAACACACACACCAGTGCATGCTGTCTGAATACACACTCAAAAGACACCGGCTGACTGTTTGTTGACTTTTGCGACAGTGCTGAGTTGCTTGTGGCCACTAGGGGCGCTAAACGTGAAAGTTGCAGGTCTAGCGCCCCTAGTGGCCAAGAGTTACACGGTGTGCCTTTAAAACAAAACAATAGTGTGCATTAAACGTATCATTACATGTTTTGAATTGTTGAATTAAAAAAATATAATGATAATAATAATCATCTTTGCACATAAAATAAACTTACAAATACGGTATGATACTGCAATTAAAGTTTTCGGTTGCCAATAAGTTTTCATTAAAATCTTAAGAGAAAGAATGCGTCCAAATACGCTTCATTATTCACTAAGCAGACTGGCTTCTAACAGAGATTATGCAAACTCACGCACCTGCACGATTTGCCGCGGCTGTACAGACAGTGTGGGGAAGTTTCCTCGGCCGTGAATGGGAACACTCTCCCCCAGAATGGAGTCCAAGCGGCGCACCTGCTCCCAGGACAGCACGCTGAAACGCCCCCCCTGCCCCCGCGAGGCGCCCATACCACTGGACGTAGAGACCTGACCGGGCATGGCTGTCCACTCTGAGAGACTCCGGGAGAAGCGTGGCTCAAGTTTGGATTAACGGTCCTTTTTGCACAACTTTAACAGAGCTCCAAAAATCAAGTTACATGGACATCTCTTGAGTGAAGTAGCTCCCGGTGCAGAAGAGACACGTTCGGTGTGACTTTAGTTCTGTCCGCTCCAGAGTGCTCGTCTCAGGTTTTACTGAGCGTGGGTTTGTGCGTGCCTTCCCATTGGCTGCTGGAGGGAGGATCCCGAAGACTTGGTGAAGATCTCCCGCGGCTGCTTCACAGTGCGTAGGAAAAATGTTAATTACATGTTTGAAAGTAATTTGAGCGTGCAGCGCGTCAGGGCAGTAAGCACACTGAATGCATGCAAGTGTGAGGCAAGGCAAGTTTATTTGTATAACACAGTTTATACACAAGGCAATTCAAAAATCTTAAGATTAAGAGATCCTGTATTTTCCCATGAATATCGGTACATTTAAATGTTGCATCACAAGTTACAGACAGTATGAATGAGGAGCAAACAGCACAAGATAAATAAATAATAGCTCAACAAGATAGAAATAAACATACAAAGCATTAAAATCAGGTAAGAAATTACCTGAATTTGAACATTGTCAGAGTAAAGAAATCTGTCTTACATTTTCAGGAAGACTGTTCCATTTATCTGAGGTGCCTCCCCATGTCTAGTCCTGACTCTGGGCATCAGCAGGAGGCCAGTCACAGATGTCCTGTGGTGCGAGGCCATGGAGAGACTAGGCAAGTCAAACAAAAGCCAAACTACTTTAGGCCAAACTACTCTATTTTCTGAGCCAGGAAACCAGTGCGGAGACCTGAGAACTGGACCAGAGCAGTGTGTAGTCTTTCCTATTCTCATTAGAAAAGACCAAAAAGTTTTATATTTGATTGGCATTCTTGCTCTCTCACGCACAAGTGTATCTCTTTATTTGCCTGAAATACAGTGGGTTTCAAAAGTGTTAATACAGCTTGAACTTTTGCACATCATGTCATCTGACAACTACAAACATAAATATTTTATTTTGTATTGTTTATTGAAAAAAAACACAATAAAGTAACAGACAACTATTGAAAAGTCAATCCTTTTTTCTCTATCAAAAACTGAAAAATGGTGTTTGAATAAGTAATCATACGGCATTTGTCCGAGCAATTGTCTTTGAACATTTCCTGATGACTGCTGAATGTTCACACCTTGCCCTAAGGTTTCATACCTATAGGTTTAAATAGCCCACCTGAGTCTAATCTACTCTCTATATAACCACAGCTGTTCTGTGAGGACCTCAAAGCTCTGTTTAGAGGATATTGGTCACAAAACGACATTGTGAAGTCAATGAACCCTCAGGGATGAAGTTGGGGGGAAGATTAAAGCAGTGTTAGGTTTCCGAGGCTTTAAACATCTCACAGAGCACTGTTTAGTCCATCATTCCAAATGGAAAGCGTATGGCACCACTACAAATATATTGAGACACGACCGTCCACCTAAACTAACAAACCAAAAAAGACCATGGACTAGACCAAAATATAACTTTTTGGCTCAATTATAAAATGTTATGTATGACTCAAAAAGAACACCGCTAACTTCCCTCAGTTTATCAGCCCTAGTGTCAAATATGGGGGTGGCAGCATCATGTTATGGGGCGACGTTTATTCAGCAAGGATGGGGAAGAGTTAGAATTTTGAGGAAAATACAAGACAGTCTTGGAAGAAAAGCTGCTTGAGTCAGCAAACCACTTTGAGCATGAGGTGAAGGTTTAGGGCTCTTCCCCTAAATATATAATAGAGAAGAGTTTTAAAAAAATATGTGGCCTTCACACATTTGCATTTGCGTTTACTTTACAGCGCTAATCTCTGCCAGGAAAACAGCTTGTACATCTTGTAAAGTGGAGATGATACATGTGATAAACAATTGTAATTTGTAAAATGATTTGTTCATTGTTTGTGTTCATTGTGTTTTCTACACTGAATAAGTCATTAGTAACACACTGGAGGACAGAAGAGAGCACAGGTTTTGACAATAATTTGAATAGATTTGTGTTTTTATAAATTAAATCCAGCCTTACACGCCGACATAACAGAGCATTTAAAAGGTGGATAATGAGAGGTTTCTGTCTTGGTGGAGATTATTATGTTATTGCTCTGCTGAAAACACTGCTTTACATATTACTGTGTTTCTTTGAATTTGAGAACCGGTATAAGAACAAGGCTCATGAGAATGTAGAATAGCCAGTAACAGTTTGAGTCTATTTGCATATTCTGTTCATGTATCTGTATTCTGTGAACACATCGCATAACTCTTTACATAACTTTCGACTGAGTCAAATGTGACAAATATAACTGCACTACAAGGAAATGTCAAGCTTGTCTCATGCAATAGCTTTGTTTATTCAGCAGGGCAAGGCATTTTCTATTTGTGTAGGACACTTTGAGGCAATTAAAAGCAAACAATAGTTGGTAATGTAATGCAAAACAAAAGTATCGCATAACAAACACAGTACATGGGTATTGTACTGCCTGTGGCTATTGTACACACAAAATCCTTTACATGTGGTGTGAATGTAGTGAGCGAGTGAATGGCTGATGATGGCTGTCGTCAAGATTACATAAAAAAGTGCTTTGTGTGACCTTGGTCCGTAAAATGTGCTAGATAAATAAAGATTATTTACACACACTACCTCCAGTGACTGTGGCGTACTTCAAGCACGGCATCTCTGAACAAAAGGTACTATTAATTCACAATACAACAGACAAAATTTCCATAATCTTTTTGTTGGCCATTTTTAACCAGATTATCAGATTTCTGTGGGTTGCCAGTTAGATATTTTACCTTTCAGTTAAACAGAAACATTCATTCGAAAAGGAAAGTAAATGTTGTTACTCCTCACACAGTTGACATTAGTTGTAAATATGCAACTAAAAGGTAAAAGCAACAAAGGGGTGTTAAAAAATACTAATCCCAACACAACACAATCTCATTCCTCCAAGAATAGAAGGCTTTGATCTTCAATAAAAGGATGAACCTGGAGATCACAATGCTGTCTGGACTCACCACAACCAAACTAGGCCTGCTCCAGCCCCAGCATCTATAACCAAGAAAACCCAGAGAGAAATCTGGCTTGACCACAACTAAATTTAAAACAATCCCACAGCATAATTCAGGGTTAGACAATGACTAAACTCAGAAAGAAATGACTATTGTAACTGGTTTTAAACCTGAAATATAATGAGCCAGACAGTGACTAAAAACATGTGGTCAAAACGTGAGACCAAACATGGCTGCCAAAGTCTACACAGAAAAGCCTTGGAAACCATTGTGTAAATCTTTGTCCATCTTCAAAGACTTTTAAACCCTTCTGATGGTAGACTTTCCAGCACAACTATACTAACTTTAAAAGGTAGCACAATGCACAATGGATATTTCATGGATTCAATTTCATTTACTCACACTTTAGAACGATTCTTTGTGGATTCTTCAACAACATTTATGGACATTGGTCATTGGTCAAAATAATAAATGCATTTGAGACACAGCTTTCATAGATTATTACTATTTTCAGGCAGAAATATGCCTCTTGACAACTTTACTAACCACTGTGTGATTTCAAAACGTACAAAAACTATCCAAACAAGTTCAAATTCTAAGTGTGTTTATTTCTCTAATAGTAATTGAATCTCAGTTTTGGACAATAATTTGATTCCACTATTCATTTAACCCTTCATATTTTTACGCCTCTCTGTCTTCTCAGTGGTGAAAAGCCGACACCTGTTCAAAAACATGCCTCCGTCTTGCACTCCTGCCGGGGTTTACGCGCCAAAAGCTCAAAAAGAAAGATGTAGCCTTCCTGGCAAGGCAAAGTCTATTTGTATAGCACAATTAACACACAAGGGACCTCAAAGTGCTGAACGAAACAAGAGCGATACAGTCACACATAAATAATCACTGTGGATTAAAAAGAGTAAAGATAAAACTCCAGTCTCACATTTTCAGGAGAATATTTCCTTGCCACTAAAATCATATTAAATAGGTCACCTTGCTCTCTGAGTCAGTACTCCCCTGAAGAAAAGGATTTTGAAATCTTATTGGGACCTTTCCTGTTTAAATAACGAGAATCAAACTGTTCAAACACAAGAAATGCAATGACAGAAAAACAAATAGTGCCAAAAGACAACCGATAAATGTTGCTAGAGTCCATAAATGTCGTTGAATGTTGAGTGTCCTGGATCATCTCCACTGTTCTTGGACCCTCTGCAAGACAACTCTAAAATTCCAGGGTGAGAAAAATCAATTATGTGGTCAGCATGTGTGACTGGTAAATGTCTTTTGTGTATACTTAGCGTACACTTCTAAATAGTAGAATGTCATGAAGATGATTTATATGCTGTATGTCTTCACTGTCTTTAGTTTTATAACTTGTGACTTCCTGTTACTTACACTGGCTATAAACACAAATTCTAAACTGATTCTAATGCTGATTCTTATGAATGAGGAAGCTATCAGCAATATGGGGATGATACCAAAACAGTCTATACTGTGTTGCAAAATCCTCAGGAAACGTGAGAGAAAATTCCACCGACAATCTCTCATGCAACTTTTGAAAGCAGCCTCCATACAGAGACACTGAAGCATGAAGCATGGTCACTGCATGGTCAAGCTGTGCACGTTAGGTAAGACACAGATACAATGCATTTCTGCCTCAACAATAGCAGCATGCCACTTGTGTTGTTTTAAAAGTCGCGGTGAATGAATTGGTGAATTGGATTTCCATCAGTCACAGCTACACCACAACTGCTGCTACTGTACTGATCTACGTCTATGTGTTCACATTCCCCAACCTATTCACGTAACCATTAGTATGTCGGCATAGCAACAGCAGCGGATGTTGTCGAAAGGGTAAATATAACATTATAGACTTCCAGGAATACTTCGGCGGGTATGTGCAGTAAATCTCTGTTGGAGTTGTGCTTGTGTACATGGGAAGCACATGTCAT